AGGGTGTAGTTGAGATTTTTGTAGAAGATATTATTTGCGAAAATCCTTAAAACAATTGTGTTGATATAAAAATTTCCACAAATAGATTCTGTTGTGCCATATGCGAAAATAATGATTAATACGGTCCAAATTTTTACTTAAAACTTGAAAAGATAAATGGGGTTAAGATTATTTTTTTTCTTATCTTAATTTACCTTAATTTTAATTGAATTCCAATACATGTTTTTTTTTCAAGTGCAACACTTTATATCTAAAACTAGGCGAATGTCCGCGCGTTACACAGAAACACTTATATAGTTGAAGTCTTTACAAATATACGTTTTTTTTAAATATAACAATAACGTTGTTGTTAAATTTGATATAATAATTCGTATACTAAATTGATATAATATATTAATTATTTTGAATTATATGATAATATATACATCTATTATAACTGCATAATCTTAATCGTTTGAATTACTTCTACCCGCGAGTTACACATGAATAAAATTAAATATAATATATGGTTTAATGTTATTTATAGTTGTTGTTACTGTTAATTAATTTTTTAAAATTTATTTGCTTAATGTTTTAATTTCTATCATTATAATTATTTAAAACATCAAACATGTTTTTTGATTTTAAAGGTAATAATATAATCATTTATATAGAGTTATTTTTAACTATTGTTATTGTAGGTTATTTTAAGCTACTTATTTGAAAACTTTTAACGATTATAAAAATATCTTTAGGAAATATTTTAGTTAAATTGAGATTACAATTTAGTTTTTGCATTTATCACTACAATCTATCACTTTTAACTATTTACAAAAATTCTTTGGTTTTTAAGTGGAACTGAAATTTATATTTACGTTGACACTGTAATGTTATATTTAAATTAACAGTTTAAGTATTTTGTCCAAATTGTTCAAAAGTTGTAGCTTTAAACTGATAATGGTTTACATACAACAACATTTTAAATATAATAAATTAAGTATAATATGTTAAAAGTTAAAGACATAACTTTATAAGTAGAGGTAAATATATTATTTTAAAATTGAAATTTAGTTTGTTTATGATTACACTATTGATTTGATATTTATTTAACCTTATTAACCAGCTTATAATCATTATTAAAAACACGCTACAATTTATCATTTTTTAACTATTTACAAAATATTTTTTAGGTTGTTTAAGTTAATGTAAAATTTATATTTAAGTTGACCCTATAATGTTATATTTAAATTAATAATTCAAGTGTTTTATACAAATTGTTTCAAAATCGTATATTTAAAATGATAATGGTTTACATTCAACAATATATTAAAACTAATAAATTAATTATAATATGTTAAAAGTTGAAAAAACATAACTTTATAAGTAGAAGTAAATATATTATTTTAATATTGAAATTTAGTTTATATATGATTACACTTTAAGTTTGATATTTATTTAACCTTATTAACCAACTTATAATTATTATTAGAAAGAAACTGAAAAGTCATGGGAGTTTCAAATGAATGTGGTGAAAGGAAAAATGCATGAGAGTTTTAAATGAATGTGGTGAAAGAAAAAATGTTTCATTTATAAGTATACTAGGCGAATGCCCGCGCGTTGCGCAGAAGCATCTATATAGCTGAAATTTTTACAAATATATGTTTTTTTAAATATAACAATAATGTTGTTGTTAAATTTGATATAATAAATCGTATACTAAGTTTATATAATATATTGATTATTTTGAATTATATGATAATATACACATCTATTAAAACTGCATAATCTCAATCTTTTGAATGACTTCTACCCGCGGGTTACTCATGAATAAAATTAAATATAATATATGGTTTAATGTTATTTATAATTCTTGTTATTGTTAATTAATTTTTTAAAATTCATTTTCTTAAGCTTTTAATTTCTATCATTGTAATTATTTAAAACATCAAACAATTTTTTTTTTATTTTAAAGGTAACAATATAATCATTTATATAAAGTTATTTTTAGCTATTGTTATTGTAAGTTATTTTAAGCTACTTATTTGAAAATTTTTAACGATTATAAAAATATCTTTAGGAAATATTTTAGTTAAATTGATATTACAATTTAGTTTTTGCATTTAGCACTACAATTTATCACTTTTAACAATTCACAAAATATTCTTTGGGTTTTTTAAGTGGAACTGAAATTTATATTGAAGTTTACCCTGTAATGTTATATTTTAATTAACAATTTAAGTATTTTGTCAAAACTGTTCAAAAGTTGTAGCTTTAGACTGATAATGGTTTAAATACAACAACATATTAAATTAAATAAATAAAGTAAAATATGTTAAAAGTTAAAGACATAACTTTATAAGTAGAAGTAAAAATATTATTTTAATATTGAAATTTAGTTTATTTATGATTACACTTTAGGTTTGATACTTATTTAACCTTATTAACAAATTTATAATCATTATTTGAAAAGCACTACAATTTATCAATTTTAACTATTTAAAAAATATTCTTTGGGTTGTTTAAGTTGAACTAAAATTTATATTTAAGTTGATCCTATAAGGTTATATTTATATTAACAATTTAAGTATTTATACAAATTTTTTCAAAAATTGTAGCTTTAAAATGATAATGGTTTACATACAACAACATATTAGACCTGATAAATTAAGTATAATATGGTAAAAGTTAAAAACATAACTTTATAAGTAGAAGAAAATATATTTTTTTAATATTAAAATTTTGTTTATATATGATTACACTTTAGGTGTGATATTTTTTTTAACATTATTAACCAACTTATAATCATTATTAGAAAAAAATTGAAAAGTCATTGGAGTTTCAAATGAATGTGGTGAAAGGAAAAATGAATGAAAGTTTCAAATGAATGTGGTGAAAGGAAAAATGTTTCTTTTATAAGTATACTAGACGAATTCCCGCGCGTTGCGCGACGCAGGTTAAAAATATATTGTTAGAATATAGTTTTCAGACACCTTTTAGTTAATTCGATTCATCAATTTAGGTTCTTTTATTATTATTATTATATTTAATGTTTTCCTTTTAACTATGTTAAAAAATATATATTGAATTTTTTAAACATTATTTGATAATTTACTTTAGGTTTTAAATTTTACACTAAAATTTTAAGCTTATTTGATATATTAATGTAGGTTATTTATTTAACTATATATTGAAGTTAACAAATTAAGTATATCATATTGATAAGTCACAAATTCTTCCATTTATGATAATGTTTACAACTAAAAGCATATTTAAGTTAATAAATTAAGTATATTGTATGGAAATATGAAAAGTTTGGAGTTTTAAATGAATGTGGTGAAAGAAAAAATGTTTCCTTTATAAGATAGTATGCCGATGATTATAGTTTTAATTTGTAAGTCATTGTTATATATACAATTATTTGATAATTTTATAAACCGTTTAAAATTGTGTAAATTATATATCAAACGTATGATAATCTATATATAACGGGTAACAAAATATATGAACAAAAATATGAACTACAACGTTTAGTAACATAAAAATACAAAAACATCTACTATAACATTTGTATTAAAAAAGATATATATACAACGAATAATAAAAAATATGAAAAATAAACACTACAACTTTTAATAACATAAAAACACTAAAACATTTATTATAACATTTATATTAACTTTTCATATTTAAATCACAAATCTTTTCAAATACATTAATGTTTTTAATGAGCAAAACTTTATAACCTTATAAAAGAAAGGAAAATAAAAAGTTACTAGTGATTACTAATTAATAATCATAAGTTAAAAACTCTTGAGTTGTAACTAATAACTATACATAAATTAAAAAACTCTTGAGTTGTAGTGTGAATTTCAAATGAATACGGTACTTGGAAATGTGTATTTATTATTTTTATTGTTGTTGTTGTTATTATTATTATTATTATTATATTCGTCTAAATAATTGGTTTTGATGCATCATTTTAATCCCTTCAATTATTAAACATAAAGATATTTAATTATAAATTTATAACATATATAGGTGCATATATATGTTAAACAAATCACATATAATATATATTTTTGTAAATGTCATATGTAATTATTGTCGTAGTAATATGGATAAATTACTTTCATACGAAGAACATATCATGATAAGTCATCATAATTACATATCAAATGTTAAAAATTATGTTATCTTTTAAATATTGTCTTGTAAATATGTTGTGTAGGATAACCCAACAAAAAAATAATAGAAAATAAACATAATCAAAATAGAAAAACTACAATCAAATAAATAAGAACATTGGGTGGTTGAATATATAAATAAAAATGTTACATAAATATACATTTAAATCAAAAGAAAAAACTAACATTCGTCTACTTTGCTCAAAAAAAAAAACTTATATCCGTTTTCTGAATCTTCTTTATTTATTTTGCACCATTCAACCATAGAAACTTGAGGACAATTCTTCACTAACCTGCAATCAAAATGTTTTTCTTGAAAAAGAAGAATGAGAAAGATATTCCAACCAAAACATTGATGTTTGGAGAGTCATATTCAAGATTGAGTAATACATACAAATCACATATAAAGATCAAATGAGAAATTGAATATAAAGAAAGAATAGAAAAGCTTCATTTGTTTTGGTTGAAAGAAAAAAAATCATATTACAATTACCATCGATGCGACATAATTCAAATCATCATATTTGGATCGTGAATGCTTCAACTATATGAAAACTTTTGAATCATAATATCTTCAACGAAACGACAACTTTTGTAAGAAAAATGTACTAATATAACTACATATATAATGCATGAGGTATTGAACTTATAGAGTGTGCGATTTTCTTGGATTGAGATTATGTGTGATTAATTACTTTGAAGGTGAAAGGGTGTAGGAGTTTCAAATGCATGAGTTGTTGACAAATTTTTATGGGGGTTTCAAATCCATGAGATTTTCTTAAAGATACTAAGATTTATAAGTATTGGTTATGAAGTTATAATTAACAATCTCCAAACCCTAGCTCCCCGTTTTTAATCGAATTTGAGCGTTGATTCTCGGTTAAGATTCCTACCCGTCACCATCTCTCTCGGTCTCTCCTACAAAGTGTGGTGTGAAGTCACAAATTCGAGAAGGCAGGAGACTAACCGTGTCGTCAATTTGAAAAAGGATGGCGTGTATCCCAGGCTTAAACCCTCCCAAAACCCTAGCCATCATCTCCTCATCGTCATCGTATTCAATCAATAACAATTTGCCTTTATCGTCATCATCGAAATCTCATTTAAAGATCGCTCAACTTTCGAAGAGATTGCCGAAGATTTCCATTGTAATGGCAACCAAGCAGCAAGAAGATGGGCTGAGTTTGAATGCATTAACAAGCAGTGACCGTAGAGATGAAGTTATGGTTGCTGCAAAAAGTTCACTTTCGAATTGCCTTTCCGAGACAAATCTTCATCTTACCATCCCTTCTCTCAAATCTAAAACAAGAGGCAAGGTAAAAAGCTGTGTATTTCTTTGTTCCCCCGTCTTTATTTGTCCAAAAGAATCGATCCCGTGTAACAATAGCAACCATCTGATCAAATTGTTCGGCTATTTTGGAAGTAAAATCAAAAGAAATCATGAAGTGGTTAAGCAAGATGCGAACTTTAATTGGATTTTGGGACATGCATGGGTCATCGATATTCTGCAATACTTTCCCCTAATTTCTGTAACCATGGTGGCGTTTATAAATTGCATTCATGGATCTGAAACTGGTTAACTTTTTGACATTTTATAGGTTAGAGATATTTATGACGGGGGAGATTATCTTGTTCTAGTCACAACTGATCGACAAAGCGCATTTGATAGGGTTCTTGCTTCGATTCCATTCAAAGGCCAGGTAATTCTTCTCCCTCTTATGTTCGTTCATTTCATTTAGTTGAAAATTTTAGAAGGATGGTTGAAAATTTTAATATTTTGCAGGTTCTTAATGACACAAGTTTATGGTGGTTCAACCAAACTCAGCACATTGCTCCAAATGCAATAATAGCAGCTCCAGATAAAAACGTTACTATTGCAAAGAAATGCTCTGTTTTCCCTATAGAATTTGTTGGTATGTGCTCCCACATTAACATTAAGAATTTTTTTCCCCCTGATGGTTTATCATTCTATACCTTTTGTAAATTGAAATGTCCCAACTTTTTAGTCAGAGGCTATGTGACTGGAAGCACGGATACATCATTATGGACTGTATACAAGAATGGGGTGCGAAATTACTGTGGCAATGCTCTTCCTGAAGGTTTGCAGTAAAAAAATCTGATAACTTTTTTTATTTTGGGATTTAACATACCATATGTGACATCAGGAATGGTGAAAAACGAGAGGCTACCTGCAAATATAATCACACCAACTACCAAGGCTGCAGATCATGATGTTCCTATTACTCCAGATGAGGTTTGTCTATTGTCCTCTCTTCTTCTCTATTTTGTATAATGAAGTTGTTTAACCAAATGTCCAAAATACCCTCGAGTAAAATATCTTTCTTGCAGATTGTCCAACAAGGGCTGATGAGTCAAGCTGATTATGATGAAGCAAGTAGGAAAGCATTGAGTTTGTTCGAGTATGGCCAGGTGATTTATTGGCACAAAGATTTTTCAAATAACAAAAGAATTGAAAAAAAAAAAAAAATGAAAGTACATTGCTATTTCTTGCATTTAGCCCTATTTTGAATGATTCTTCTGTTTTGGGTTTTGCAGCGTGTGGCATTAGAACATGGTGTGATATTAGTGGATACAAAATATGAATTTGGAAAGGGCCCTGATGGTTCAGTGCTATTGATCGATGAGGTCCATACACCTGACTCAAGCAGATACTGGTTAGCCCATTCTTATGAGGCCCGCTTTAACAATGGGCTTGAGCCCGAAAATGTCGATAAGGTCCAAGTCCAAGTCCAACCCTTCTCTTTCATTACTCACCAAATTTCTTTATGGAAGCCTTATTACAATCACTTGAAATTTGATATATGAAATGTTTTTAGGAGTTTTTGAGGTTGTGGTTCAAAGATCACTGCAATCCCTATGAGGACAAGGTAAATATTGACATTTATCTGTTTGAATGTTGATTGGTTGAATGTGATTCATATCAAATTCTTTTTTTTACCAATTAGGTTCTTCCCAATGCTCCTGAAGAGCTTGTTACTGAACTGGCTTGGAGGTATGCCGTGACTACACTACCATTGTAATTCTGATTGGTTGATTAATTTATTTTAAGCATTGTACTTGTCTTTTAGTTGCAAATTTAGCCACTGTTGTTGTAAAAATGCATAAAGAATAATGTTTTTGAATGGCAGATACATTTTCTTGTATGAGACGATAACAAAATCAAGATTTCAGATACCCGAGACAACGGTAAAAAGAAACTCTCCTCTAATGTAAGCTAAAATAATAATGAGCGAAGTGAAGAGGCTAAGTTGTGTTGTTTTTTTGTTGTGTGTGCAGGAGCCTATACATGATAGGATAACTCGCAATGTTTCAGATGCATTGTCATTGCTGCTACCCAATTAGTTTTAACCATGTGATCAAAGCAGTTATTAAACAATGTTTAGTGTCATCTGTTTTCTTGTTACGGAAGGCTGAGCTCTTGAAGCTTAGGTCCCCAAAATGTTTTAACTCAAAATCAGCTTGTCTGAATCTAGATCTTGTTTTCGTAACCGATTTGTATCGGTTAAATTTAAGTTATATTTTGTGATCAGGTTATAATCCTCAAGGTTGTGTTTGGCAGAATTTAACTGAAAAAGTAGTAGTGTTTGGTGAAAAAGTCGCTAACTGAACATATAAGGGTATATTTGAAGAACTTGTGAAAAAGTCCCATGAGATCGGTTTTATAGTAAATTAGTTATATAACAAGTGAATAAACTTCAAAAATAAAAATAAACTAGTTATCGATGTTTAATTATTATTCGGCTTGTCTACTATATTTAATTATTAATCTTGTTTCGGTGAGTCGATTTAAGTTCTATTTTATTTGTTTAATAGACAAAATTGAAAAGTTAAGTTAATAAGGAAATTAGTTAATAGACTGAAAGTCGTACAAAGTGTCTTCCAGTAAAAATCATTTTACTTCAAAAAGTAGATTATTCAATAGTCATTGTAAGTTATAATCATTACTTAAATTGAAAAAATAGAAAATATTTTCAGGTCTATGGCTAACTATGCTTGAGCCTTAACTTAACTCATATAGGCTAGGTTTACATATGGGAGAGATCGTTCAGCATCCGTTATGAAAAATTGGGAGACCACAGTTAGGATCGAGGTGGAAGCATTCGAAGCTGGTAAACGACTAAATGCCTTTTAAACTTTACTTTTTATATTAATTATAAATTATAAATTACTAATTTTGTTTTTTTGTCTTGAATTTTGTACAACTGTTTGCTGGAATTGGAGACATAGAGTGATAGAGTAACATTGTTGGCTCAAGTCATCTGGTACTATGAAAACTGTCGAGTCTTAATTAATTTCTTATTGTTACTGTGCACTGTTTTCTGCTATAGTGTCGTACACATGTAGTAAAATTAATGGAGGCATAATAATTATTTTATCCTTCTGTAATGGTTTCCAGTCATTTTGATGTTTATTATAATTGGAAATAAAAATCAATAACTAAAGTGAATGACTTGCTTTTTTACATGTAGATTAGAATTTAGATACAGTCAAGTAGGATTTAAGAATTAATAATTGAAGTGAATGTTTACATGAGTATATATAACTATATAAGCACGTGTTTGCTGTATACCTTGTACAAAGTAAACCGCTTTAAAAAAAAAAACACTGTAAATTAAAAAATTATAAATTACAGCATCTATGATAATGCATCACTTTGTGAAGCTAGAACAATGGCCATAGTTTCATCATCCATATCTATCTTATCATCCTCCATCATTTCAAGAATGTCACTACACGCTTTCTTTTTTGCTACATGCATCCTAATCAAAGATCGATATACACACAAACTAGCAAGATTGAAACCCCTAATAACATTTAAAAACTCCTTAGCATCTTCCAACTTTCCACTCTTTTCAAAATACTCAAAAATAGACTCAACAATCGTACCCGAAGGCCTCCAATTACAATCCTTCAACATCTTAAACCCATTCTTCATTGCATCCACAACTTTCTCCATGTTTCCATTTTTAAGATATCCCTCCATAAGTATCTCCCATGTCTTATAATTTGGACACCCACCTCTCTCCAATGTTCTTAAATGTAACCCCTCTGCCTTTTCCATTAATCCACCCCTAACATAAGCACCAAGAAGAATATTAGACACCCTAATGTCGTACTTCCAACACTGTGACTCCCATTCTATAAAAATCTTTTCTGCTTCTTTAACATCCTCAAGCTTCACTAAACTTAGCAACATACACATGTAGTTTGCACATGTGAGTTTTGCATCTACCCTTTTGCAAGCTTTCCAAACGCGAATAACCCCCTCTTTGTTTTTCAAAGAAACATAGTTTGTAATGAGGAAAAAGTAACCAAAATGGTTTTTGAAAGATAGCTTCTTTTCTGCGTTTTCCAGTGTCAGAGTTGCTTTCTCAAAAAGTCCTGATTTCATGTAGATATTAGCCAAAGTACAAAGAGTGCTCCATCCGATTATAACATCCTTGTCGTTTAACATTTCTTTGTAAACAATATCGACATTTTGGACCCCATAAACCTCATGGGTTGCACTCATCCAAAGATTATAAGAAAGCACGTTTCTTGGGATTTTGTTTTGCTTCATCTGGGATATGACAGATATTACAAGGTCAAATTGAGATGTGGCTATGTAAAGCTTCATCATTGCGTTAAATGGATGTGGAGTCACATTAGCACCCAAAGAAGTCATTTTGATCATTAGAGACTCGGCTTTTTCTGTGGCTTTATCTCTAACGTATGAATTGAGAAGATGGAGATATGAAGCTTTTTGTGAAGCTGTGTTAGGTAGTTTGGCAAAGTAATCTTCGGCTTCTTCCAAAGTACTTACTTTGATGGTTAATTCTAACCTGAGAGCATGATCAGAGTCTGAAAACTGGAAACGTTCTTGATCCTCCATCCACTTCATTACCTGTCAACAAATATACATCACAAACTTCTCATTTTGAAAGGAAAACCATCAATGCAGTTTCATGATTATATACGACCTACAGTGTAAAAGGAGCAAACCTCAAGAGCGTGTTTGTAACGCCCACGTCTCACAAGTTGATTCGAAATATCTCGAAGATCGTAAATGGAGACTTTTCGGCCTTCGCTGACCCAATTCTGGAGCACACTCGTCGTGCTTCGTCGAGGATACCTGAGGAAAAGTAACTTGCTTTTAAGGTCGATGTCGTTATTTTGTTTAGAAGGCGGCAAGTCATGGTATGCAGATGCCGATAAGTTGTTCGACGAAATGCGCCTTAGAAAATTGAATCCTTTTGCAATTCCACCGTAGCGCATTTTACGGAAACTGCAATAAAATCTTTGTGGGTATTGTGTGTTTCATATAGAAATACAGAGATTGGGTCAACGAAGCTTACCTTAGTGGCTGAAGACGGGTGAGAAGTGAGCGAATCGCCATGGCAAATTACAATGAATTCAGCACGAGTTCAGTCCGGGTAGGGTCACTCACGCTGGCAAATGCGGGAATCTGAATTTAGTTTTTCGGTGTATATTTCCTTTTGGGCCCCTAAAGTGCATCTAATCTAGTAGTACTTTTTTGACTATCCAAAATTTCACTATGTTCACATCAATGTTTTAAAAACCGGTTTGAACCGGCGGGTCGAACCGGTTGGACCGGGAATCGGAGGAGGGGGTGGTTCAATTATCACCAGTTTTGTATTGATTTCTAGACTGTATTGAACCGGCCGGTCTTTAAAAAACCCGGTTGAACCGGTTAAACCGAATAAAAACACATGAAAAAGAACCATTTACATAATAAACTTTGATGATTTTTTTCCAAATCTATTGAGTTTTCTCTAAATAAAAACATATGATTAATGTTATAAAGTTTTTTGATGTGGTTGTATTCCTCTAAAACTATATTTCGTTTCAGTATTATATTTTATTTTCTTTTTGACGTATATGAATTTATGTAAACACTAAAACTTATGGTTATGATTATTTTAATGTATTTGGATTCATTTACAAATTATTTTTATGTGTATTTTGAATGTTTGAACTTGTAAACATCCAATTTTATAATTTATATAAGTATGTATGTGTAGGAAAATAGAAAAAGACATGAAAAATAGAGAAACCGGTTCACCCGACGGTCGAACCGGTTAAACCGTGAATCGGTCACCATACAGGTTCAACTAAAAAACCGGTTTTTAAAACATTGGTTCACATAACTCCCCACGCTAACACATAAGAGTGCTGGGGTGGACTGCGGTTTGGAACCGCATTGATGCCACGTGGACCGCAAACACCGCCTTCTAGGTGCGGTTTCCTGCGGTTTTGGCCGCAGTGTGGCTAGAAAAGACTGCATGTTGTGATTGGTTGTTCCATCTTTTGACCGTTGAACGGTCCTTGCGTCCGAATTTATTTATTTATTTATTTTTACTCTCTATATATACTTACCATTTTTTTACTCCACATTCAACCAAAATCCTTACACTTTTACTCTCTTTTCCTCCAAATTTTTTGAAAATGTATTCTTCCAAAAGGCCCAGCAAAGAAAAAACACCTGTTAGAAACACCACAACCCCAATACCTTCATTTGATCAGCCGATTTTTCCACCTCCATATTACCACTATGGCGGTATGGTTCCGTACTTTCCACAACGACCAACACAACCACTATCACAAACACTACCACAACCCGACACATATTTTAATCCATTTGAATTTTTGTCTCAACCCAAATTTGTTCAACAAACACAAACACAAACACAACCACAAAAGGTCGTTTCTGATTTCGAACCGGAATTCGTTACAGAAACTCAGCCCACTCGAGCAGCAACTAAAAGAAAAGAGAAGACGAAGACTAAATGTTGGGAACCCCTAGAAGTGTTAGTGTTGGCACAATCTTGGATCGATATTTCAGAAGATGCGACGGTTGTAAAAGACCAAAAGCATGACCGCTTTTGGATTCACGTTTTACATAGGTTCCATAAAGGTATGAACCGTGGAGAATACCGTTCAAAACATCAAGTGTACTCGAAATGGGGGAAGATGAACAAGGAAATCATGTTGTTTAATGATCTGTATAACAACATGAAACGTCAATGGAAAAGTGGAGAAAACAATGATTGAGGAAAACGCTGAAAGTGTATCAAAAAAAAAAAACCTGAAGGCTTTCAAGTTTCTTGAAGTTTGGAATTTTGTGAAAGATAACAAGAAATGACAAAGTAGCAAAACATCAGACGAGCATATCGACAGTGGTTCAAAACGCAGCAGAACATCTGAGTCCGACAACACTACATCAGATGCTCGTGTTCAATTTGATCTGAACGAAGATGAACCTGTTCCAGTTTCACCACCTTCCCGACCAATGGGAAGAGACAAAGCAAAAAGCAAAGGCAAAGACAAATCGTCAGATTTAGATGAGTTGAAAGAAATGGGGGCCGACATGAAGGGTATAAAAGATAGAATGGACAAGATTTTGCAAATTGCTTCTGAAAGAGAGCTTCAGAAACAAAGAGACAACGACATACGATTACTATTGTTGGACACGTCGAATATGACCGGAGACGAGCTTCAAGTTGTTTTGGCGATGAAGGAGGAAGTGAAAAAACGTTACGCAAATCGTGGCTAATTTCTAGTTTTTTTCTTCAAGTTTTTAATCGTTTGGTGTGTGTTTTTTTTAATAAGTTGTAGGTTTTATGTTTCTAATCTGCTTTTCTATTTTTTTTAAGTTAAGCAATGTATGGTATTTGTATTTTAAATTAATGAAATATTATCTTTTTAAAATTATGTTTTTCTTATTAAAAAAGAAGATTTATTAAATTAAAATAGTTAAAAAAAACAAAAATAAAAGTGTGGTGCCCAATGTTTTAAAAACCGGTTTGAACCGGTCGGTCGAACCGGGAATCGGTGGGAGGGAGCGGTTCAATTATCACCAGTTTTATATTGATTTCTGAACCGGATTGAACCGGCCGGTTTTTGAAAAACCGTGTTGAACCGGTCAAAATAAATCGGTTGAACAGGTTAAACCGAATAAAAACACATGAAAAAGAACCATTTACATAATAAACTTTGGTGATTTTTTTCCAAATCTATTGAGTTTTCTCTAAATAAAAACATATGATTAACATTATAGTTTTTTTTATGTGGTTGTATTAATCTAAAACTATATTTCGTTTCGGTATTATATTTTATTTTCTTTGTGACGTATATGGATTTATGTAAACACTAAAACTTATGGTTATGGTTATTTAATGTATTTGGATTCATTTACAAATTATTTTTATGTGTATTTTAAATGTTTGAACTTGTAAACATCCAATTCATAATTTATATAAGTATGTATGTGTAGGAAAATAGAAAAAGACATGAAAAGTAGAGAAACCGGTTCACCCGACGGTCGAACCGGTTAAACCGGTTGAACCGTGAACCGGTCACCATACCGGTTCAACTAAAAAACCGGTTTTTAAAACATTGGTGGCACCACTCCCTTGGTGTGGCAAGAAACCACACTTGTGTGGTAAAAAATGACGTGACGCTTATGTGACGGTGAAGGGAGTACGGTTCCGATGACACCACTCCCTCCAACCTAAAAGGACGAAATACTTCAAAGAGGTAATAAATATCTTTATTTTAGACCCATTGGTGATGGTTTCAGCACCTTTTCTTTGACTCCCACCATGTGAAGCATCAATAATTTTGGATAGGTGTTAATGCAAAATGTCATGTCTTTGAACTAACTAAAATGTTAGTTTTTTTTGGTTGGAAAACCATCGTAGTAATTAATAATTAATAAGTTAGTTTATAAATTAATAGTGTTTGGTAAAAGTTACTTTATAAACTATATCACAAATATAAAATGATATAAATGTAAATTTAAATATATAAATAAAAGAAAAATTAAGGATACAATTGAATTTTTTTGAAAAAGCTTGATCAAAAGTTAGCTTATAAACTAGTTCATCAGCTAAAATAAGTTATTTTTATAGTTTTATCAAACATTAAATTACAATAAGTTAGCTTAAAGCTAACTTATTTTTGTCAAACAAGGTCTTAATCTACTCTACTATGTAAGTATATGAGGGTATACAATATACACCCACAATTAGGACCAAATTGAAAATTAACGAGGTTTAATCAGAAAAAACAAAACAAAACATATAAGATATTTTATAATATTAACCCTTAGATTTAAGAGTAAATTACACGAATGGTCCCTATGGTTTGGGGTAATTTACGCGTTTGGTCCATAATTTATTTTTTTAACTCGGAAGGTCCCTAATGTTTGTTTTTGTTACGCACTTGGTCCCTACAGTTTGTTTTTGTTATGCATTTGGTCCTTATCTTACCTAAAAAGACTATTATTTAAATAGGGAAAAATGGTGGGATAGATAATGTAAGGTGAAGAGGGTGGGGTTGGGGGTATGTTTATTTAAATAAATTAAAAAATGAATGGCAAAATAATATTTTTAGGTAAGATAGGGACCAAACGCGTAACGAAAACAAACAGTAGGGACCTTCCGAGTTAAAAAAATAAGTTAGGGACCAAACGCGCAAATTACACTAAACTATAGGGACCATTCGTGTAATTTACTCTAGATTTAATTACTGTTTTTTTTAGTTTAACCATGTATGTAATGCGTTTATGATGTTTTATAATTTCGAATTTTTTATAGATATATTAGCATTTTAACTTTCAATATTATAATATACCTATTTAATTAATATTATTGTCAAATAGTCTTTTAAATTAGAGGAATTTCCGCGCTTTGCGGCGGACAAAAGTGATGCATGTATGTGCAAGATATTTCTTACGTACGCAAGGACTGAAAATTGTGGATCAATGTTTCAAATACATATGTATGGTGTCGTGTATGTTGGTTATTTGGATTATTGTTGGAGTTTGGTTTTAGTTTGTAAAATATGATTCGTACTAATAGATAGAAAAATGTTTGGAACAGGTACCACCCATTAACTGAAGACGCAGTGACCAACCATCTTCACCAAATAGGAATAATAGTGGATATTGCAAAGGCATATAACACGGGTGCAACTTACTAACCCGCTTAGGCAGTCCATCTTTCGAATGTACAACAATATCATAACCACTATCATTAGCATCATCACCACAAATAATGCAACCCAAGGTACTCGGAGTAGGAGGGCCTTATAGCCAATCATGTACATTGTTGTAAAGCCGTACGAAGTAACTTTCTACTTTTATTACATATGTCATATCTTTTACATTTTAAAAGTGCGTACATACTCGTTGGGCATCATATATTCGTGCCAAGGATATTGTGGTCTCACAAATATGATGGTGAATCAACCATGCAAGAAAGCGTGACCCTTGATTATGTTATAACTCTCAAAGTGATGTGACGGTTAACCACACACGTTCCATCAACAAACTGCAACCACAAGTCCACCTTTTACGTCTTAGATTTATATTCCGGTTAACCATATACGTTCCATAAATAGGCTCGTAATGAATAATGTGTGTTAATCATGGATTAGCAAACTATTCATATTTTCCTAAAATAACTAAGAACATGAATTTTGTTTTTAGTACTTTCATTTGTTATACTTTTAACGAAACATCGTCCAATCGAATCCTTTCGGTTAACGACAATCCACCACACAAAGAAGAAGTAAATGAAAAAGAACACTCATTAAACGGTCATTTTATAGATTATTTTCTTATACCTCTCTTATAGTATGACTTAATGAATGAAGTCTAGTCTTGATTCGACTAACGATCATTAATTAAACATGCGATGACACATGTTGTAATTTTTTTTATATATATATATATATATATATATATATATATATATCCTCCCTAATAAATAAACATCTTTTTGCCACATATCAACTTATTATGCAATTGGACATATGACATTTTCTTGATTTTTTGATTTATCTAATATTCCACTTGTCAATTTGTTATGATGCCACCTAAACATATATAATGAAGATGTATATTATTCACAAACACACGTATATACAATGTTTGATTTGATTTCCTAAATATTAGCAAATTAGAATTATAATGACATTTTCTTGATTTCTTAAATATTAGTCCATATATAAACCAAAACGTTTGATTTCATAATTATAGGAAAACTATGTCTATATTTTTGGAACCTGTAATCACACACCACTAATAATGAATTACATTCAAACTTCACATTAATTCAATTTCTATTACCATATATATGTATACTTTAGGCTGTGAAAAAATAATTCAGAAAATCATATGATATATGCTAATATATGCTGATATAAATTCCATATATATGTATATTTTACAGTAGTTAATCTGTTTTGTATCTCAAAATCAAGATTACTTTGCCGCTTTTGATATTGTTTCTTCTGCAAATTCATCGTCGCCTACAACAACTGCTAACAAAGGTTATTTCTTATGCTTCATCTGTGTGTTCTTCCTTTGCGTATATCTGATAAAGATAGACTTAAAGGTGCAAAATATCAAAAGTTTTTTAGCATTCTCTTTATTTTTTTTCACTAACTTTTTGGTTAAATTTCTCTCCTAAATGGGGAGATGTGCTGGAAGTGGATTGAAATTGTCACTATTTTCATAAACAAACGACCTTAAGTTTTTCAAGGATATTATTGGAGTATATCATGCTGTTTTGGGAGGTTTTTCTGCTAAACGTCATGGTGTCCCTATCTACTGCTTTGGTTTTTTGTATGCACTTATAAGTATTTTTGGTATCTTTGTATTTTAGTGGTGGTGAAGTATAGACGCAGTTGCCCCTGTCCTTGGTATGAAAAATGGTAGCAATGAAGGTTTGAAAGAGACAAATACAAAATCACCTTTTTTTTTGTCTTCAAGGGTATTTCGAGAATTTGTGGGTGTTGCTTGGACATACGTTTAAGTTTTCCTTTGTCTGACTTTGTTTACAAAGGTTTGAAAGAAGCCTTTTTTTGAAAAATGGTTGCTTTGGCAATTGTTATTTTTTTTAATTTTTATTTTATTTTATTTTATTATTATTGAGGATTTTGTCTTTGGTATGAAAAATGGTAGCAATGAAGGTTTGAAAGAGACAAATACAAAATCATCTTTTTTTTTCTTCAAGGGTATTTCAGGAATTTGTGGGTGTTGCTTGGACATACGTTTGAGTTTTCCTTTGTCTGACTTCGTTTACAAATGTTTGAAAGAAGCCTTCAATGAAAAATGGTTGCTTTGTCAATTATTATTATTTTATTTTATTATTTTTATTTTGTCTATGGTATGAATAATGGTAGCAGTGAAGGTTTGAAAGAGACAAATACACAATCTCACTGATGTCGTCTAAAAAGAGATCAATACAATTGCCAAGGCAGTAATAGTTTCACAATGTTGCAACTCCTATGAATACTTTGTTTCTTGCTGCTTAAATCCTCAAAAAAAGCAACAAGGGTCAAAATTGCCAAACCAGTAACATCAGGGACTTATTCAGCTCTTTTCGATTACTGCTTATCCAATCTTTGTTCTAAGTTCCTCCTGTACTCCAATGAATTATTTGCTTCATCTCTCTTGACCCATTTTCTATTTTGACATTTATGATTCAAATACAAAATCTTGGAGGAGTTGTGATGAGATATATACCGTCTATTCTTTTTTTAATAGTGAAACTGGTTAGGGAGGTAATGAATCTTTTGAAAATTTTATAATTATTAAAATGGAGTGAGGACATTTTTCATAAAATTGCTGTCAAAATATGTTAAAATGGGTCCAAAGTTGGTTGAGAATGACCAATATGCAGTCAAAATGATATTTTTACTCCAATGAATTATTTGCTTATCATGATCTTCTCAAGGATTGGTGCAATCAAATTATAAAAAGGTATTTCGGTCCTTTTATGGATTTTGATGTATTAAGGATTTGGTGTAACAAAAATATTCTCCTTTTTATTTCAATTTTAATATATATTCCAAGTTAGTGTGGATTAGTTTGTTTTGGTAACATGCAGGGGAGAAAAGGAATCGGTTACTCCATTGAATTAGTTGCTTATCATTCTCAATTTTTTCAATGTAATAATCATAGTTTTTTATATTTCTTTTACAGCTCATGGATCCAACCGAAATCACAATGATTAATGATCTAAGTCTCTCAAATGACAACTACACAATTAAGGTCCGAATAATCAGGCTTTGGAAACAAACAACTTGGTCGAAACCACATGAGACACGACAAATCGGAATGATTTTAATGGATGAAGAGGTATTTAAAAAGAATTGCTTTTAAACTATTTAATAATTTCATAATATCATATAATTAGTTATACACTATCCATGTTAATAATATAGTTGTTTATTATTTATTTATTTAATCGTTGTTGAAGGGCAATAAAATTGAATGCACTGTGGACAAATCATATGTGATATTGGGAAAACACTTGAAGAATATGCAAATGTTTACATTCATAAGCCAACACTTGGTTTATATGTTGATGGCGTTATGAAGTTCATTGACACTCAAAACAAATTGTTTTTGCAATATAACACTAGAGTAACCAAGTGCATTGGTTTTAATGGGCCCAAGAATTATTTTGCCTTTGCAAACTTCCAAGATCTTATTGATAAGGTTATCCCTTCAACTATTTCTTTTGGTAAGTTCATAACGTTGATTTCACATTTTACATCTTATAATATTTGTATATAAATTCTCCATCCTAACACTATTTATATACTAACATCTCCCATCGTGTATATTATAGATGTCATTGGTAATGTTTTTCAATGCTATCCACTGGAACCTGCAACCCAAAAATTGGATAAAAGGATTACATTGAAATTGGAAGATTTAGAGTATGTTTCTTTCAATGTAATATGGGTTCAATTATATACACTTATACAATAAAGTCGTTACTTATAAGTATTGTATTACTTTAATAATTGGTTGGTATTCAAAAAATTTTATTAATTTTTTTTAACAAACCCGTGTAATACACGGGTCTTACACCTAGTGTATATATATATATATATATATATATATATATATATATATATATATAGGCTTAGGTTATTCTATTTAAAGTAATTATTATGTTATTGTATGCATAAATGTGGGCCAATCAAATTTACTTATTTTAAGAAAGTGATTAATATATATTATTGAATTAAATATAATTGAAAATTATCATCTTAATTAATTACAAGGGTAATTTAGTCAATTAATATAGATTTAATAAAGGAAAATTGCATTTTTTAGGGATCATAGATTCTATTAATTTTAAAAATCCGATTGTACGAATTATAATTCTTTTAATTCGGACATTCTAACAGAATATGTTTATGAGTATATTCAAAAATAAAAATATTCTTGAACCATAAATAATAAAAATATTCTTGAACCTATTTCTTGATCATGACTTTAAAAACTTCTTGTAGAATAACAAATTCTTGAACAATCAATTGACGAATAAAAACAAAAAATACATTATTTCTTATAGAATACGCATAACAATTGTTAAGAATTACATTTATTGTTAAAGAATAAAACTAAAAAAACTTTCAAAACGGGAAAGAAAACATCAAATCTAACAACGACACTAATACATTCTAAAAGAATAATGTTGCTTAGAATCACTTTCAATTTGTGGTCCGTTCTTCAAGCATCAACTTCTGTGAAAACAAAACAAAATTGTAGTTTAGATTCTAATAATGCATTAGCAAATGAAAAATAAAAAACTAAATTCATTTGGAAAAAGATGTGGACTTGTGAATTGCACCAAAACCAATAAACAAGAATTATAGAACACGCATAAATCAGTGAGAAAATATCCATACTCCATTCCAATAGAATTGGAATTCATGACTCCATTCCAACAGAACTGGAATTCATGATTCCATTCCAACAGAATTGGAATTCATGATTCCTTTTTATCTTCTTCATGTCAATCTCAAGAATTGTACCACACATTTATGGTTTCTTTCCCTTAGATCACAATGTACTCCATATCTATCAAAATTCACAACTATACAATAAGATTATCAAGAGAATTGATTTTTTTTTATCTATTTAACTAGTAAAGCCCAATCAAAAGAAACATACCCAATCAAAGAAGAGATCATCACCATTGTTCTTCCTTCTCTTTTCTGTCAAATGAATCAACCAAAGAATTCCCTGTTCTTCTCCTTTGTTTTCCTACCAAAGAACACCACTAGAGATGGGTAAATCAAGAGAGCAACAACCCTCTCTTGGTCATCCTTGCTCATCACCGATTCCACAAGCAAAAGCCACTGATTTCTTGCTTCCATTACCTGTTTCACTGCAAATCCCCCTTCCCCTTTCTGTTTCAATGGTCAATAGCCCTATTTTCATGTTCTCTTCCTTGTAAAAACAACAAACCCAAACACCCATCTTTTCCCTCTATTGATTTCTGTCTAAAACAAGCAAAAAAAAAAAAAAAAAAAACAGAAACAAACCTCAAAAAAGCAGAGGGAAATGCCGACTGCCACCACCGTAGACGACCCACTGCCGCCCTACAACTCCCATCTGCACCCACCGAAGCCCACCGTAGCTTTGTTGCTTCTTCCTTCGGTCTAGCCAAACCCCAGAGGTCCTCTCTTTTCCCCTCGTTTTCTTCCTTCTTTGCTGTTCCCAACGACCACATCGTCGCTCATCGTCGAAGGAAACCCACCGCTCCTCGATCACCGTCGATCACCGTCGATCACCGGCGTCGGTCGTCGCTGCTACGGTGCCTCCGTCGCTGCTACTGCTGCTACCGATTTGGTGATGTCATCTTCAACGGCGGGAGTGGGGTTCTTCAGTATCTTCTTCATCGTCGCCGGGAAATTAGGTCAGTAGCCGATTGGATGGTCGACGTGAAGGAGTCTTCAACCGGTGATAACGATTGATCCTACACCGGTGATGAAGATTGATCAAATCAGTCGTAGGCCTTATATAAAAGGGGGGAATTAGGTTAAAATCAGCATAACTAGCAAAATTATAGGGAGTATTTGTGGAAGTTATTTCTCAAATTACCTAGTTACCCTTATTGATTTATTTAATTATTGTTTATTCTATTAATTTTTGATTGGTCCACAATCATGCATACAATAATATAATACTTAGTTAGAATACCTGAACCTATCTCTCTCTTTCTCTCTCTCTATATATATATATATATATATATATATATATATATATATATATTATTCTTTTATAAAATTTTATAATTATATAAGAGGTGAATTTTAAACAATTTAAAGTTATTTAATTTAATTAAATTATCTTTAATTACCTTTTAATTAATTGCATTTTAATTCATTATCAATATGTTTAAATCAATTAGGCATATTTATCTTCCTATTTTAATTAATTAGTTTTAAATAGATTAAGATATTGATTTACACTAAAGATAAACCCTGAATTTGAAAATATTGCAAAAATCCTGAAATCATAAAACCTCGATAAGGCGCGTCGTGCCAAAGCTAGGGCGCACCACGTCCTGCAACAACAAATTTCTTTTGCGGTCTTTTGTCAGTTTAAAATCTTGTGCATATAATAAAACTTAAGGCTTTGATACCACTCTTGAGTTTTCTATGGAACTATATACTAGATTAAGACAACGGAAACAATCAAAAAAACATCCTAAGTGTACATGCACCGTACGATCTAAGTTTTACTATTATAGCAACATACTTTTCAAACTAACCTAACAAGCTAAAAGAGAAAGGATTGAAACACTAACCTTTTTGACAAATCGATTTGTCACTGGTACCTTGATCTCTTTGTTGCTCTTGTCATTTCTTGGAAAGACTAGTACCCAAAGTAGAATATTTCTAATGGTTCACACCCAAAAGTCAAGAACCCTATAAACTAAAGGATATAGATATGAGAGAGAGAGGGGAATCGAATTTTGCAACCTTTCTAAAGGTTTAAATGTGACTAAAATATTAAGATTTAATCTTGATTCAAATCGTTTCCTTATCTATTACTAGGATTGATTCTGGAAGCCTCCAAGGAGCCTCTCAAAACCATCCACCACCTATAGGTTACAGAATGTTCCCATTGTTCAACTGGCGAACAATTAACATTCAATCTATGCGTCTTTAGATTAGTACCAATTAATCCAAATTAATTCTAATTAATATTAACTAGTTTCTAATTAATTTATTAACATGTAATAAATTAATAAACTATTTTCTCAATCTCCTAAAATCATTTCTAGCTATTCTTGCTCTTGAAGTCAACCGAAAAAAGGATTTTGCTAATTCACAAAGTTACACAAATTAGTTATGATATTGGACACCTATTTCCAATAGTTGCGTTGGTACTTGCATGAATAGTTTATTGATATAAGATATTGCCTTGCCGATTGTGTAGTTGGCCAGATTGCTGGAGAAGACCGGCCTGGTTAGTATGGGCTTACCGTGTTGGTTAAGGTAGTGTTTGTTTTTTCTCTGCAGATCTGTGTGGTCTCTTCTGTCTGCACCGCGCAGACCACGCGCAGACATTAGCTTTTGCAGACTGTTTGTTTTTTTGAAGACTGCAAACCTAAAAATGTCTTCGCGCCATCTTCTTGGCGCAGATGTGGACCAGAGTCTTCTAACATCTTCAGACATCTTCTCGCCTAAAAAAACATATATATCTTTATTTTTTGAACTTTTTTTTTTAATTTATATTTTTTCCAACTTTATTAATGATAAACAATTTTGAAAAAAAAATTACAAAACTTAAAAAAAACGTTCGACGATACAAACATGATATTTTTGACAAATTTATAAATAAAGATTTATTACAATAATAGTCGTTGAAATTGTTTATATAAATATGAAAAAAAAATCATAATATATTCTTATATTTTTTTGCCAAATTTTGTAAAACATTATTTAATACAGTATTGTCAATTTCTCGAGAAAATATTTATGGTCGTTTTTAATGGATTTAATTGAAAAAATCAAAGTTTATTTCCATCTATTTATGTATCAAATTCTTTGATCACTAATTATAATGTTTAGTTATAACTTTGCAACCAAAGTTGTTGGTTTTTATCAAATATATACGTTAATTCATACAATTTTTATTTTTATTTTTTATACAATAATACATAAAAGTTGATCTAGATTCGTTAATTATTTATAACAAAGTCATAAAAATATTATTTAGATTTCAGTTTATTTTAGTAGCCCGCAGATGTTAAAAAAACAAACAGTCTTCTTTTTTCAGACTGCAGACGTTTGGTCCACCTCTTCTACTGCAGAGGTCTATAGATGTGGTCCGCAGACTGCAGACATTTTGCCTCAGAAAAAACAAACAGCACCTAAGCCTTCTTAGCATTGCCGCGTAGCTGTTATGTATGGGCTAACCACATACACCATTAAAAAACTAAGACCAATGCCTTCCAAATATTCCACAACACCGAGTACATTAAGACCCAAAGTAATCTACACCTTTTTTTGCTTGCTTAATACCAGAGAGTGCATGTGAGACTTTAACTCTAAGCAATTTAAAGGAGGGGAAGGCAGCATGTTAGACCAATTGCAAAACCAGTACCAGATATCTTTAGCATAGAAGCAATCAAAAAAGACATGGTCGACATTCTCCTCGACAGTCGCACAAAACAGACAGAGAACAGAAGACAATTAGACACATTTAACAACCATATTACAAACAATCGAAATTTTGTTGTGAAACAATTTCCAGAATTCCAGGTGAAGCAGTTAACTTTTAAAAGGCGCCCAACCATTATATGCTAAGAAATTTCTAGGATACATGTTTTATTATCAAGGAGGAACTTTTAGGAGAGTATTTAAATGCAAAGTTCGTATATGTGTTTTGTATTAGTGCGTTAATATAAATAGAAAATTGTTGTATATACCAACCAAAAGCATTATTAGTGACAAGACAATCTTAAAAACATAACAAACGATGTTATTATGTAACAGTGACTATTAAAACTAATTATTGTATGGGAATGATTTTGAAGCTTCGTATTGAGCTAATAGAACGATTCTGACTGGAATATAAATACAATCTTATCCATCAATAAATTGTTTTATTTTAGAGAGATTTTTATCTTTTATCATAATCATTGATTATTTCAATCTAACACTCATAATCGGTATCCATAAGTGAAGCTGGAAAGGTCTTTCCAGTGCTTGCACCGGCAAAACACCTTGAGGACGAACTGACGAAGTTTAATTCTAATCAACAAGTCATACTTTATAAATATAATAAGATTTGTTTTCAGTTGACAGGGTTATTTTCATGACCAACTATGCGGTGGATTCATGACAAAATTCCAAGGGTAGCCCACATGATTTTAGATATAGCACGTCGGAAAATTTATATTATGTCGAAAAAATTCTTAAAATGTTATTATGCTAAATTTTTTAAAGGGTAGCACTGGGCTACCTCAGGTACCCCTAGGTCCGACCCGGACCAACTCATATAAACTTGTTATAGTTCTCATCATATGAGTTTATATGTTTGTATGTTTTTTCACACTAATTTCTTGTAGTGTTTCGTTTTTAACTAAAAAAACCAATGCGTCTTATAACGGCATGAACTCTAAAACTCCAACAACTTTTTCAAATTCTAGAGACCTATAAGTGTTATGTTGTCTTATAAATGTGCTATGTTGTCTTTTTCTTTTGTCCATTGCTTTTAAAACCGACTTATCAGCTTTACTATGTCATAATCGAAGTCTTAATTATCTCTGAATTGAAAAAAAAGTGTACTAGAAAGGGATTTTTAAATTTGAATGTTTTCAAATACAACTAATGAGGGTCCTCTAAGATGCTGTCAATCAGGGAAAAAGAAAACAAAACAATGGTCATACAAACCGGCACTGTATTCATATCATCATATGCGGTATGTGTATATTATTTTATCGATAATGAAATAATATATTTGATATTATATTATTATCTATGGGATAAACTTTAAGCGACTGTATCTTTTATTTTTATTATATAAAAGGTTATTATTTTAATTTTCTTTAAGTAAAAGTTAGCATTAAATGTCAAATATTAATTCTTTATAATAAATAACTAAATATTATATATATTTTCAATAAAACAACCTCATTTAAAAAAAAAATTTGTGATTTGAAAACTATCGTTATTGCTTCATATTATTGTTATTAATAATAATTACTAGATTGTCTTTGTTTTTAGTATCTGTATTTTTTATTTTTTACACGTTGTATATTTTCCATGTTATATTTTTTATTGTTTTTTAAGATGTCTTATTTTTCAGTTTTCGGTTATGTATTTCGATGTTCTTTTTAAATGATTTGTTTTACCGGTCTTTTCGATTATCAGTTTTGGTTGTTTACTTGGAAACTTTTGGAAACTTTTGAAGTAAATTGGAAATATTTTGAGAATCCTACATGTGCATTTACATAGGATGGAATAATTTCAAAGTCATTCATGATATTCATACCAAATTTGACTTTTTGGAAGTGATTAGATTTGTAGATAATCATCGATGTACACAATGAAGGCTAGCTACCCATCGGTGGTGCTTTTGGGATGGTTCATCATTTATCTCGTTTGGACAAGTTTTCAATGTATTGAGTAGATATGTTTAACATGCATGAGCCCATTTTAACTATCAATGTGAACTTAGACCTCTTAAGACATTTGTTGTCATTTACAATATAATAATCATTTATAAACATCATTATAATATAAAAAATTACATGCAATGCTTTATGCTTCTAACCCCTTTCCAAGTGTTCTCATGTCCAAATCCTCATTAGTCTTTTGTCAGTCGTTATTTATATTTGATTGCTCATTGGATACATGGCGAACCCCAAACGTCATGTGTGATATTTGTGATGAAAAACGAACAGATCCGCTGAAACTCGAACTTGTACCACATCAATCTTATACATGGCGAACCCCAA